AATGTTGACGTACATAAACCTGCTTAACACTCATCAGCATCTGAATTTAAGGCAATCGCGAAGCCGGCTTTGTTATGGCCTTATCCAGTGCCGGTATTGTTTATTCAATCACCAAAGGCTGCAGAGCCGGCAACATTAGCGAATGTCACTGTGATAGCCAAGATCATAGTGGTCAGCACTTGGATGAGGTAGAATATTTCTATATCAATGCATAACTTTTGGCTTACATTTGCACTAGATTTACCTAGACATTCTTCAAAATAATAACCGCAGTTAAGAACGAATTTAATGAAAACAACGGTCTGAACGAGGCAAAAAAATTGAAGTATTCATGGAGCGGATGTTCGGACAATATCAATTACGCTGTTGAGTTCGCAAAAAGGTTTTTTGACAGCTACGAGCAAAAGCAGTTTCAGGAAACCAAAAATATTCGACATTTGATTAATCTGCACAATTATCGTGTAGGAAGAGAGGTTTGCACTTCATATGAATAAAATTTTTTCTTCTTACGTAGTATCTTATTTATGTTTTTTAGCCTTTATTTCTCTTATAAAAAGTAAGTTCTCTTCTTTGGAAAACCCTAAAAACGGAAATCGAAATTATAGTGAAAATGATTAAATAAAGCAGAAAAATCGCATCTTCTTCTGTTGACTGTGTTTCTGCTTCTCATAAATTTTAGATGGGAAATCACTGTTGAGATGCCAAAAAACTTATGAAAATACAGTTTTATATAAACAGTACCTTGTACCAGTAAAACAGTATCTTCCTAGAACTATCAGATATAGTGTAGATTTTTTACTACCTTTTCTCAGAATTATGTTTTTCTTCACTAATTAAACATTTAAATTGTGTCGCTGTTATCGCCACCTGCATTTTCAGAAGTGCTTTAAAAGTTACCTGGCAACTGTTTGACCATTCCTACTTGCAGAGCTGCTTTGTAATTAATAACTAAAATTTCAGTGGAATTGTTGGCAACGTTTTTTAACAACTTTATTTACGAACAAAGGCAATGAAAGTAACAAAAATATCAAGTTACTTTTTGTTACTAAATGTTTTGCTTAACTGTTTGACAGTAAAAAGCATTGAAAAAACTGGATGACAAAGCATTGACAAGGATGTCTGTTTAAAGCAAGTACCTCCTTTTTAGCATCTTCCCTAACTAAAAAGGAAGAGATAAAACAATTAGACAATGGCAGGTCTTCACATTAAAAAAATAATAAGATAAAATGTTGCTTTTTACGTAGGAGAAAATGGAGATAATTTTACCCTTTAGCTGTCAGAGTAATTTGAACAGCTCTTACCGGACTTCAGTTTTCACTTTTACATAATCACACGCTTTCTTCGGAATTCTGTTTAGGTTGTTTCCCAAAATATGCAAAAACGGTGCAGATGTCATGGAATTAGTGGCTCTTGCGATTTTCAAACCTGTTGGATGGAAACACCGGAATTACAACAAATTGGTTCAATGCTTAAAGACAGATATAATCGATTTTCTGTTCAGGTTATTATATAATAAACTTTCTTTTTTTTGCATATTATTTTTTGATTTTACTAATTTTTTTTTTTGATTTTACTAAATTATATTATATTTCGAACAACAATTATAAAACAACCAAGATTGGTTTTAGGTGGCTAAAAAAGTGAAAAAAAAGTTACGAAGAAAGGGACGCACAGAAATTCGAAAGACACCGCTACGTTTTTATGAAATTGCTTATATCAATAAATCACCAAACTACTGCGATAGAGACGATAAAAAAGGTATACTGTTTTTTGAGGGGTATTGGTGGTATACCATTGTCAAGTTTGTTAATTTTCGTAAACTTAATATACTTATTGGAACTGAAAAATGTTGAATATTTTTTTTCAGTAAATATGGTCTTTTTGATGCAGTATTAATGCTTACTAAGGCATTTCATATGCTTAATTACTTGAACGCTTTGATTAGCAAAAACTACAGTTTCATGCAGCTAAGTTTTAAGAATTATATATACCTCAGCAAATTACTGGAAATTAACCATTGTACACTAATAAACAAGCTGTAAACGACTAGTAAGCAAGAAAAGAAAAAAAAAATAATGATAGATGTTGATAGTTTTTGTAGACAAAAGATTTCAGGTATTCTTGGAACAACCGGACGGCAGTGTAATCAGACAATGTCGTCGCCGAGTAGCTGTACTCTATTGTGCTGTGGACGTGGCTACAGGTCAATTGAAGGTGAACGGACGGAGAATTGTTATTGTAAATTTTTCTATTGCTGTATGGTAAAATGTAAATTATGCTTAATTAAGTATGTTAACCATATTTGTAAGTAGATATATTTGAAGTTTATTGCCGAAAAACAACTGTAATTTATCAGGTTGTTCCAGTAATTCCTACAAATGCATTTTTTTCATATTTGTTTATTTCAGTTTTTCAGTCTTCAATGTCAGGCTTTACAAAGGTGTTACAAAAATGCTTTAATTTGATCAGTCTTGTATTTTTTTTTTTGATTTGATAGATTTATGTTAGTTTGATGAAATTAGCTTAATCATAGATGTGAAAACAGGGAGCAAGAAATAGCATGAAAATGGGATAAGAATAGATTATTCTGATGATTCATTTGCTTTTAGTTTCAACATTTAAAAAAAGATCAATTTTTTTTCTCAAAATTTAGTTGTTTTTTTTTT